CCCAGAGAGCTGCATGCTGCTGCCTGGCGCGCAGCTGGTTCGCCGGCCTCTCCGCTGCATCCGTGCTTTGGGCCGCCTGCCCTCACGCTCCCTCATGGATCTCCGGGAGCTCGTTTATGCCCTGAATGACTTTGCACCCCTCTCTCTGGCTGAAAGCTGGGACAACGTGGGGCTGCTGGTGGAACCAAGTCCTCCCCACACTGTGAACACCCTTTTCCTCACTAACGATCTCACTGAGGAGGTGATGGAAGAGGCAGTGCAGAAGAAAGCAGACCTTATTCTTTCTTACCACCCTCCTATATTCACACCGCTCAAGCGAATAACGTGGAAGACCTGGAAGGAACGGCTGGTAGTCCGAGCCCTGGAGCACAGAATCGGGATTTACTCTCCGCATACGGCATATGATGCCATACCTCACGGAGTCAATAACTGGCTAGCAAAGGGACTTGGTGAGATTCTGTTAAAAACAAGCAAAAAAGTTAAAATTATCAGTATATGTTATTTTATGTGGGGACTTTCCCTCATTTTCCTTTCTTCCAGCTTTTACAGGTATGATTTGAGTACTTTTTTTAATATTTTTTTTTCCGAATAGTCTTCTAGTACTTCTAGGTACCCTAAACATATTTTGGGGAACTTGACTTGTTGAGGAATACCAGGTACAAACACTGGAGGACATTTTCAGATGCATGACTGCACTATTGGATGTAGTCGGAACTGGTGCAGCGTATTTATGGTCCATCTTGGTTGCAAAGTTTAGGCTGACTTTAAATCCCACCTTTAATTTATAAAGTGCAAGATCTCATTGTTTGCAAAGGACTTAAGGTATCTGAAATTCTTTTTGATTTTTATCCTGTATTGTGGGTCACAAATGAAAATAGCTATGTCTTTTCCAGCCTGATTTACAAACCAGAAACTATTTTGGGTTTGTACAATTCTTAGGATAAAATGGATGGCATTAAGAATGACAATATATATCAGCTTCTTTGCACTTAAAATAGACTGTGCCTAGTGGAGACAATGGGGCAAGAAGTCCCCAGTTCTGGTCAAGGAAAATGGATTCACATGCAAAATTTACATCTTTTTGTTGCATCTCCTTAGGATATGTGCTAAATCAATATTGGGATACTTACACAGCTTTATAAACCAGCAATCTTGTACTGTTTTCTCAGGTGCCTGTACTTTGGTCCCACTGCATCCATCGACTGCACCAAGCTATCCAGCTGAGGGCACTCACCGAGTAGAATTCTGCGCAGACAACACTGAGCATCTGGACATGGTGCTGTCCAAAATCAAAGACATCCAAGAGATCTCCTGTCTCACTACTCTCCCCGCCAGGTATCTGCTTTGCTCTCTAATGTTGTATTCTTTCTGTTGTTTGAAACACTAAGTTGCTGGAATTGTATTTTACTGTTGTAATCGCTTTGTTCCTCTGTGCATTGCTGCTATTTTTTTCAATGACAGTTCTAGAAACTTAAGGAATAATCATCCCTTTCTGATCGATCTCTGTTATACTAAATGGTAACAGCAACTCAGTGTAGCATCGCATAGGTTAGAGGTAGTAAAGAGTATTAACAAGAAATTTGATGAGGACAGTTGAGTTAAATTCCCGTATCTGTTTCTTCCAAGACAGTAGACTAGGCAAGACTAAGCTATTGCAATGCTTTCTTTCTCACTTTCTCTGTAGTAGAATAGCCACTGAGATAGAAAAGCTTTGTTTTCTATTAATAGGATGCTGAAATTTTATCTAGTTTCTTAGCAAGAACCAAGCATATCTTTCCTCAGGGTTGAAGGTGAGGAGCAAACACGAGTCAGTTTGAACTGCTCTCAGAAGGCACTCCTGGAGGTGGTGGCATTATTGTCCCAGAACAGCCTTCTTTATCACAAGACTGAGATTCTCTTATTACAAAAGGTAACAAAATCACATATTACTTCCAATGAATGTATTACTTGTGTGAGCTGAGTGCCCTGAACACTGAAATCCTGTAGTGTAGTAGCATCACAGGTTTCCTATGCTATCCTGTCAGCATTCCCAAATACTGGCTTGTGGGGATTTGAAGCCACACACATTTTCCACACCAATGAAAATGGCTGTGTGGCCTGTACTAATTCTTAAATCAGTTCCAATAGCTAGTGTAATTAGTATGTTAAATTTGAGAACATCACGTATATATTTTTTCATAAAGTTCAGAGGCATTTCTGAATGCCCAATATACTCATCCCTGTACAGTATGGAAAGCAATGCAAACTTCTGGAGTCAGCTTTCTCACAGTAATTCTAATTCCTTTTCAGCCTCTTCTTCCCCACACTGGAATGGGACGTCTGTGCACACTGAGTGAGCCAGTCTCCTTGTCAGACATAATTGAGCGTATCAAAAGCCACCTAAAGTTACCCCACATCCGCTTAGCCATGGGAATGGGCAAGACGCTAGGTAAACAGGCCTGCAAGTACGACTGTTCATGAGAACTAGTATTCCAGGAAGACAAGAAGTGTGAGTGTGTGCATGAGTGTGTGAAATACTGCTGCCTTGGGTAGGCTTACTTGCAAGTAGTATGAAGCATTATTAAAGACACAAAACAGCATTTTACAATTCACATGATAAAATCATGCAAAAAGAATCTCATCTGTATTTTTAGTTGGAAGTTCTATATTATGCTGGTTGTCACTGTGAAGAAGGGACAGTGCACGCTGAATACGAGACATCCTTTTTCATACTTTATATAATGACTAAGATTTTTTTTCCCCCCCAGGATACCAGACACAAATGTATACCATTGCATTGTACACTCCCTTTTGTGACTGGATGTCAAATTTCAAAGCACCTTAAAATAGTGAGATGCTTTATGGTATCCTTATGAACACGTAACTATCCCATGATTTGATGAAACCGAAATAGTGGCAAAGAAGGTGAATTATCCTAGCTCGAACACTGGGTCACTAGTAAAGCAAGCATCCTCTTATCCTAGTTACCTACCCTGATCTCCAAGGAGCACAGCTGTTAGAATTTGTGAGAGCACATTTGTTGAGAACTCTTTGTAACCTACGAGACAGAAGTCTTATTAGAAGCCTCTTATACTATCAGTTGCACTAAAATAATCCCAAACTATTTGGAAGCCTCTCATTATGGTGTGGGATTGTAGTGGTGTGACTCACACTTAAATCAGCAGTAACTCCATGGCAACGTACTGTAAAACCTTAACAGAATTTGAAAACTCTGTGTCTCATGTGTCCCCTCTCCCTAGTGAATGTAATATATATGGAGAATTAAATTTCCTGTCACGATCACATATGTAGTAGCTTGGAATCAGCGAGCATACTGGCAAATTCTTAATGGCGCGGAGCAGCTCTCAGCTTGCATTGAGATTAGCCTTCTGAGAGCTAGAAGTTAGGAACCAGTATATCTCAGAGGCAAAATGCTGCCTTAGTGGCAGCATTAGTTGGAAAACTACTGATGGTGGAACATGAGAGTCCTGGAAAGAGCAGCAGCCTATTAAAGAGTTCAGAAACCTAACTATATGACACCTCACTAGGAGAGAACTAGCCAGCAGCTAGCCTCTGTGCTGTAGTTTTCTGCAAACTTCCCTACCCCTTGAAGAAAAAAAAAATCTATGCATCTATTTGGTACACACAGGATTTTGCTGTATTATCAGAGATGTTATAGGCCCATGATTCTTTCAAATGGACAGGTGTGTCTCTTCCTCCAACAAACTTACATTTGACCCTAAAGTCAAGGTAGTAGTTCTTGTGAAACAATTAATTGCAATGCTGGCATGAAGGCTGAACAGAGGGAAAGGAGTTTAACTGTTACACCTTGCATCCTGCAGAATCGCCAGTGAAGAAGGCTGCTCTGTGTGCTGGTTCTGGGAGCAGCGTCCTGAAGGGAGTGGAAGCTGACCTCTATCTCACAGGTAAAAGATTATGTTGCTGTTTTGTTATCTTTATAAAAATAGTCACTAGGGGGAAAAAAAAAAAAAAAAAAAAAAAAAAAAAGAAACAAGAGAGAGTTGACTGGCTGTTGAACTGTTGAAAGATTTGGCCAGAAAGAATTACCTGTTATGATTGAGAAACAATCAGTTAGTTATTGGGATGATAGAAGAATAACATTAAAATAGAGATACCATGAATCAGATGGCTATGTGGCACATTGAAGGTTATTTCAGTTAAAACATTGCTATATGTGCATTATTTCAACACAGAATCAGCACTAATGGCAGTCTATTGCAACCTTCAGTGTGTTTCTCCTTTGGCAAGATACAAGGTATTTCCTCAGTTCCCTACAGGAGAATGGAATATAATGTAGTCTACAGAATCTTCCAAAGGAAGCCTATCTGACCAAATGGACACTTAGTCCCTTATCCTGTTTTCTGACAGTCAGACAGCTACTCCCTGCAGC